GACCGTGAGGCAACCTCCAGCTGCCTGTAGAAGGCCTCATCAGCCGCCTCCTCCTGGTCAGGTGGCCTGTAGCAGACACCCACCACAGTGTCTCCCACGTTGGCCTGCCCTTTAACCCTTACCCACAAGCTCTCCACCCTCTCATCATCCACTCCCAGGTTGAGCTCCATGCGTTCCAGTTGCTCTCTCACATACAGAGCAACTCCACCACCTCGCCTTCCCAGCCTGTCCTTCCTAAAGAGCACATAGCCCTCCATGACAGCGCTCCAGTCATTAGAGCTATCCCACCACGTTTCTGTGATTCCTATGAGATCRTGRTGCTGRKACCRCACVCAGATCTCCAGTTCGTCCTGYTTATTCCCCATGCTTCGTGCATTGGTGTATAAGCATTTCAGGCAGGTAATCGAGGCTGAACTTTTCCCAGGAAGCATGAGAGAGGATCCTCTATAATCAYGCCCTAGCTGTACTTCCCCACCAYCGTAGGCCTGTTGGATATTCATTGGCTTAGGTTTTACAGGATTGATTCCCCAGTCCATATGACACTCCCCTTACCCCTTCCTGCTTAGTTTAAAGCTCTCCTAGTGAGATTGGCCAGCCTTTTAGCAAATACCCGCCTGCCCTTCTTGGTGAGGTGGTTTCCACCATGCTCCACTAGCCGGTGGTCGTCAAACCCCATGGGGTCAAGATCTGGCCAAAACACACATCTGACAGGAACTGGGAAATGCTGCTGGGTTCTTTCATGTAGATGTAGGTTATGTATACACGAGCATGGGAAAATTGCAGAAGGATGTGGTATACTCATAGAGAAGTGTGTGAGAACTGAGAAGAGGATTAGGAGCCGTGCTGAATAGCTGCTCATATTGAGGAGGAAGACAGGGTCATGATTTGAAACTGAGGCTCCACACAAGGCACCTTAGTCAGTACAAAGATGTATAGTGTCTGTAGGGTTTTAGGAATCTTGGGCCTAGGGCAATTTGGCTACATCCATGGAGAGGCACATTGCAGCTTTTGTCACTTTAGCTATGCCTACCCAGTACAATTTTCAGCCTTAGTTTTGGCTTCTGAAGATGAGATCCATCAGCAGGCTCAAGGAACAGGCAAAGTAGGCAGGTCTGGGGAACAACTGACTCCCTCCACTSTCTTTCCACATACATGTCCCCTCTCAGATTTTCCCTGAATACTGCTAGCCTTCCTCCTTCCTTTACCTGCCCCTGCAGCTAGGCTTAATTTTGCATTCCTAGGGTGATGAAATTCAGTTTTGTCTGAGAGCTGAGAATCTTTGGGCTGGATGGAGGCCCTCCAGCTCAAACACAGATCTACTGAGCAGCAAAGCTGGTGGTGGAAGGATGAGGAGGAGAACTTCCTCTGTGGCCAGGGAGTGGTGAGGGGATGGAGCATGGAGCAGGACTGTCTCTTTCAGGGATAGCTAGATTCACTCAAATTAATGATAAATTACAGCCATACACCCCTGTATCTCTCTCTCTCTCTCTCTCTCTGGAAGTCAGGAGTTAGAGACAGCTTTACCAAATGATTTGGGGCTAGAGTGAGTAAAGCGCTGAAGGTCTTAAACTACATGAGGTAGCAAGGTAGCACTTGAGCTTGTAGGTGCAAATTGTGAGTTTGAAAGCTTACATGCTTTGATTCGTGACCCAGGAGATACCAGAATTTCAGGCATACATTACATTCTCATTTCRGAGTTGCTGAGTGGCGCCTGTTGAGTGGCTCCTCTGAGGTCTGCTCGTTTCTTAATGGGCTGAGAGTTCACTCAATACCAAGTAAGTCTAGTGTCTCACAGGTTTAGATTAACTTGCAGTCCTACAGAGGTGAAACCCCTCGGCTGTTGATGGGAGAAGTGCCTCCTTCCTCAGRGAAGTTATCCTTGTGTGAGATGCAGAAAATCTGATAGCAGACAGGAATCCAATTTATCTGGTCTCTTGTAGAGATTCGTGCCATCAAAGCAYCATTAAATGTCAACAGCAGCTGTAAAACAACATACAGTCTGAAATTCCAATGCCCCATGGTTTCATGTCCAACTTGCACATAGTATAGAGGTGACACATATAGTGAAAGAAAAATGTGCTGATAAAGGGCYAACTGTTCTACCCACAGTAGAATTACTCATGGTGAATTACTGTAGAGGTCACTGGTGATCTCTTCTCTCCATGTCTATAAGAAACTCAAATTAATATCCTGGTTTCTCTCTGCTAATAAACACATTTATCAGTTTACGGATGTCACATGGGCTTGACATGAAAAGTCCTATCACACGTCTCAGCAGTTTGTAGTGCAGTTAGTCAGAGGAAAGTTGAAAATGTTGAAAAGGGAACATTTCCAGGCAGAAGGGGAAATGGGCAGAGCAAGATGAGCAATAGATCTGTGCTAATACRGCCCCACCTCACATAAACATGTATAAAAATAGTGAAAGACTGATTTTCACTGTTCCCCGATTGCCAGTCATTTGTTGCTTCTCTCTGGAACCTCCACCCATCCAAGATGTGGGCAAAGGTACCGTCTTGTTTCTTTGCACTTTCAGATGTTCTTTCAGCATAAGCTTTTGTATCTTCCTTGTGCATGTTTCTGTAGGTGTGCATCACACTATGGGCTACATAGTTCACCTACTTTAAATGCTTTGTGTTACTCAAGGCTGTCTTGATGCTTCCTTACTGAGCTCAGTGAGAACTTACATGAAATAATGGGACAGTTTGGTCGCTGTGGTCAGGAAAATGAAATCCAGCTGAGGCAACACAATGAAAAACTGCGGGCCTAGTCACTGGAACTGAAAAGTCTGTATTCCGAAGAGTGGCACATTTTGACTTGCTTAAGCTAGGAAAATAAAGGAGCTATTATCACTCTCTGAATATATGCAGAGGGGAGTAATAAAAGGGAAAAGGAGATTTGGAAGAGACTATTTCCAAAGACAGGGAAGACATGTCAATGCCAGCACATAAAAGTGTATGTACAGAGTTCTTATAAGCAATGTAGGCCTCTCTACAGCGGAAAGTCTATCAGAGGAGATAAGTTCTAGATTAGTTTCTTATAGGGATACTAATAGCAACCAACAGCTCCAGGCCAGGAGAAGCATGCTGAGTTTGTCTAATGGGTCAATGTTCAGTGGGAAAGCAAAAAATGAGAACTATAATATAAGGAGCCAGGAACAAGGAGCCACGGCTTTTCAGAGAGCTGAGATCTTGTGTTGGGGAAAAGCTAGAAATCCAACCGAGTGTGAATTCAGTGGGAGCTGCAAGACAGGAGCTGCTGGTAAGAGGTAGAGCTGCCAAGTCCTGTCTGCCTCTGTGCTCCAAGCTCCGTGAGATTTGGGATACTAATCTGCTACTCACAGAGATTAAATCCTGCCTCCCTGAGTAACAGTGGCTGCACTGCCTGAAATGCCAGATTCCCACTGATTTCAATAACAATGAAAAGGTGCTATTGAAAGCCAAGTGCTTTTTGCTCCTATTCTTTTATAAAACTTGCCAAGTTACATCATTTGCACCTTAAGAACTCCAGTCAGGGAGGAAGCAGTAGAAACAGACAAAGGGGACAGGTGAAAGTAAAAGCAAAACATAAGTAACTCTATGCCATTTCTGGGAATAGAAAGGGGAACATCAGTTTTTCTGGTGCAATTCATGTGCTGATGCAATTCCTWTCAGCAAGGACAGCACAACAGAAATGGCCAGCATGGTGAGAAAAAATCCAAACCAAAAAAAAAARGGGGGGGGGGAAATATGCGATGTTTTTTAACTTTTTTTTTTTTTTTTAAGAAAGAGAAGGTTATATATCTACATTTTTTTCCTTAACAGACAATTACAGGCAATTTTGCCAGTGTGATTCACGGTCTGAATGCGAACCACTTGACAGAGCAAGTCGTTCAGCGAAGCAAGCGAATGATTCTGGACACCCTCGGAGTTGGGCTGCTGGGAACCAGCACCGAGGTCTGCCACAAAGTGATGCAGTACAGCAAAGTAAGACGTTTGGTACTCACAGCACCTCCTCACAAAGTGTAAGAAAAGCAAATGAGAATTGGGGCTGCTAAGGGGAATGTCCKTGTGGTGAGATTCTTTTAATGACAGAGGAGGAGAAAAAAGTGCTCCACCCATTAGAGGGAAGGGAAACTCGTTGCTTGAGTTACTTAAATCCTGGATGGCTAAAAGTCTGTGCAAGAAACTCTCTGCTGAGGCTCTCCACTGAAAGCAGAACAGAGATAACTAAGAATCCCTTCCTTTTGCATAGAAGGTTTGATGAAAACATCAGCAAAGCAAACATTACTTAACACTAGACTTTCAAAAACAGACTCCTCCCTGTGATCTGTTTGAGGCCTTTGACACAGCTCCTCAGGAAAGCTTGTTCCTTTCAATACTTCCCRATAGAATAGCACGTTGACAGTTTCATTTCCTAGGAAGGGGAGCAGCTGAGTCCCAAAAGGGTATGTGCTGATCTCATTTACATCAGAGACGCAGTGTACATTTACCCTTCTGCTCAGGAGTTTGAAATAATTAATGTCATTTTGCTTCAGATCTACAGCTCAGACACATCCAGCACCGCCTGGGGCCACTTGGATTTCCGACTTCCTCCTCTGTATGCAGCGTTTGTGAATGGAGTGGCCGTAAGGGACTTTCTTTATTTGCTCTTAAATCACACTAATTGATTCCATCTTCCTTACAGAGAGAACAGAAGGCTCCTAAAATCTTAGCTTGCTTTATTATTTTACCTGAGGTCTACCACAATTTTTTCCTAGCTTGTTCTCGTTTACTTCAGCTTTCTTCCAGTAAGWCCAGGCTCAAAGCATGAGGCAACATGTATCTCACCTCGGCCCGACACTCATTTGGCACATGGGGCTGTTTTCAAGGTGCAGAWCTCCAAGCTTGTTACAGCCTTTTAAGCCACACAACCGTGAGGTAACCTCACCCTCAGAGGTTGCAGCAGGAGCCACATTCCATCCCAACTGACCAGCTGGAGTTACTGAAAAACACAAGTGCAGACATATGTGAATATACCTATACATATGTACTATCACAGAGYGATTCAATTTTCAATCACGCAGTTTGCAAAAGCTGGTTATACATTTTGGACACATACTTTATCAGCAAAGCAATAACTGATTCCCCGGAGTTTTGCTGAAGCTCAGATCTAGGCTGAAAGCGATTGAAATCACTGGATATGCTAGAGGTGCCCTAGACAAATTTGGTAATTATGCAAAACTAGGGAAGGCAGCCATCTAAGGAAATGATATATTAAACCCGCCTATATTAGTGTGACAACAAGATCAGAGGTCGAATTTGACATCTCTTTTTCAATGTAGAAAAAATTATTTTGGAAATGACATACACTAACTCTCAGCCCTTAATAATCAGTGTGATACTCAAATCCGGTTGCTATCATATATGTGATAATTTCAGTTTACATTTTCGTAACAGATCAATTCTAAACACTTACTGAAAACTCAAGCAACTCAGTTTATGGGGTATTAGGCACCACTTTCCATATCCCACGTTGTAGGGTATCTTCACAGATGGTATCATATTCTTCAATATGATGGAAATTCTTCTCAATTCTGGATCTTTTTCTGTCTGCTTAAGAGTAGACTCCTCAGCAGCCTGATAGTGAGGATGGCAGACTTGTGTATTCCCAGCATTACAGAACAAGATCTGAGCGCTGGGGAGCATTTCAACCTTCCTTGCTTGTAGATCTGTGAAATAAGGCACCTGGGAACAGGCATGAAGGTCACTTATGGTTTCGAAGCATTAACAATTTGGTTAAAAATATTGTTCCTGGCACTGGCGATGAGTTAGAATATTTGGGGTTTTTCTAGCAGACTCTGAACCACAACAAATCTTGCTGGGAACAGTCTGCTATCAAAAGAGCTGCAATATGCCCTGCTGGGAACACCTGGAAACTTCCAGGGCAGTTGGACTCTGGATATGTGGAAGAGGGGGATCTCCAGAGGCTCTTAAAGGCTAAGGAGCTCATCTCAGCTTTAAGATTAAAGATTGCCCCTGCTCCCAGCAAGTCCAGTGCATCTGGTTGCTCAAAGATGGGGCTGTTCTGCATCTGCTAAAGCCAGATGAGAGTTTGCAGCCTGTATAGATAAATATATTTATGTATATATATATATGTACATATATGTATGTATGTATACACACACACACACACACACATATAATAAAACCACGTATGTATAATTTACTGGTATGAGCCCTTATGTCAGCATTAGTTGCATCACAGGGGAAGTAACTTCATTATACTTAAATATTATTTTGGGGAAGTGAAGGTAGATACATCTGCATTCATATGGCAGTTCTAGAAGTGCCGCTTTAACTATTGCAGCCTAGTTATAGGAACGAAAGTCTATTGTAGGAAAGAAATACCATTGTCATACTGATTTCAGACTAGAGCAACTAGGATCAGAATTATGCCTCTTTGATGCAAGATTTATACTGTATTTCTTCTTCTCATCAAAACATGTTGGGACTAAAGTACCTAGAAGATTTTTGTTTGATTGTTTTTTAAGTTTTGCTTCCTAAGGAAAGTTCCCCAATATTTTTATACCAATTCCAGAGTTTTCATGCCACTGATCTGATCTTGTTAAGGCAAATGGTTGATTTCTGATGACAAAGCAAAGTTTCTCTTTGCACCAGGTGCACTCAATGGACTTTGATGACACGTGGCACCCAGCCACACACCCGTCCGGAGCGGTGCTGCCCGCTGTCCTTGCCCTCTCAGAGGCCTTTTCCCAGAAGAAAAAGATCTCCGGGCTCGACCTGCTCCTAGCTTTCAACGTGGGAATTGAAGTACAAGGCAGGTTGCTACGCTTTTCCAGTGAGGCCAGGAACATCCCCAAAAGGTACCTAAAATACTTCAAAGAGTAACCYGAGCACAAGGTTCTCCAGGGCTAATATACTTAATTACATGCCAATAAAGATACAAATATGGTTGATGATATTTTCTATGTCGGTTGTCCAGAAATTTAGCAAAGATTTAAGCAAACCCCGAAGGAGCTTGTGCATGCAGTGAATTCATGTAACTATGAAACACAGTAATGAGGGAGATTTTGTTTTCTCAGGTTTCACCCTCCAACCGTGGTGGGCACGATGGGCAGCGCAGCGGCCTGTGCTAAGCTGCTAGCTCTGGACCAGCTGAAATGCAAGAACGCCTTGGCTGTGGCTGCGTCCTACGCGGGTGCCCCGCTGGCCAACGCTGCCACCCAAACCAAGCCCCTCCACGTGGGCAACGCGGCCAAACACGGGCTGGAAGCGGCTTGCTTGGCATCCCTGGGCGTCCAAGGCAACGGGCAGATCTTGGACATGGAGTCGGGGATGGGAGCCTTTTATTCTGATTACAACCCACAGACGCTGCCGACCTTGCAGTCGTACCCGTGGCTTTTGGAGCAACAGGACGTTGCCATCAAGCGCTTCCCCGCTCACCTCGCAACGCACTGGGTGGCCGACGCCGCGGCTGCTGTCAGGAGGCAGCTCGTGGGGCGCAGTCCCAACCTGCCGCCCCTCGACGAGATCGAGGAGGTCGTGGTGAAGGTGCCGGAGGTGCGCTACGTGAACAGGCCCGCCCCCGCCTCGGAGCACGAGGCTCGGCACTCCTTCCAGTTCGTGGCGTGCTCTGCGCTGCTGGACGGCGGCATGTCCGTCGGCTCCTTTGCCGGCGAGAGCATCCAGCGCGCGGCCGTGCGGGAGCTGCTGCGCAGGACGCGCCTCGAGCACCCGGCCGACAACGAGCCCAGCTTCGAGCAGCTCTACTGCGAGGTGAGCGTCGCGGTGCCGGGCGGCCGCGCGCTCAGCCACCGCTGCGACACCTTCTACGGGCACTGGAGGAAGCCGCTGAGGCAAGAGGACCTGGAGAAGAAATTCCAGGCCAACGCCTCCCAAGTCCTCTCCGYGGAAGCCGTGGAAGGCATTATAGAGACCGTCAATAACCTGGAAAAAGTGGAGGACTGTTCTGTTTTAAGCACATTTTTATCGGGACAGTCAGCTAGAGCACTTTCAGAGAAACTGCACTTGCTGTGAACAATATTCCATCACTCGAGAGACAACGTGTAGCTAGACTCTACTCACAAAGCCAATAAAAAATCCAGGAAAACTCCTTCTTTAGMGAATCTAAATTGGACTCCTGTAACACAAGAGCCATGCTCAGTCCAATATTGTGTATTTTGACCAAATAATAGAGGTTATGTACACAATTTGGTGAGAGGCTGAGCAGAGTATCTACAGTCTGCTGGCACAGTCTGTCTCCATTATCTTTGTACCTCTAGAAGCAGAGCAATGCTTGCATGCTACCAAAAATAAATAAATAAAAATCAACCCTATTCTGTGTCCATACATAACTTCTTAAGGAAGATGCAGACTCGGGAGGAGTGTGAAAATATTGTCTCTGAGAAACATCCCTGTGAGGACTACAAGACATTCAGCTCCGCTTTCCCTGCGTCCACAAAGCTGATGAGTAACCACAAGGAACGTGCACGTAGGCTGCCATCCCAGGTTATTTTTTCTAGTAGGAAAGAATAATAAAGGATTTTAAGGTGAGGCGGGTTATGTGAGTGCTGCATTTTGTGGATGTGKAGATGTCAGTGAAGTCCTATTATACTGTGTGCTCGCCAACAGCTACAAGATTTAATAAAAGCTGCTCATTCAGTTCCAAGTTTGCACTCAAGACGTGTCTTTACTGCAATGGATACTGACTCTCTACTTACATATGATCCAGTGCTGATCAGCAGTGATGAATCTTGGCTGCTAATCCACCGAATCACAGAATGGTTGAGGCTGGAAGGCAAACCTGGTGGTTTGCATATTGAAGATCGAAGGGTATGTTTTCTAAATACATAAAATATATCTAACTTTGCAGCCCCAAAATATGTGTGCAAAAGCTCACAAAATAAAGCCATTTTGTTTTACTAACCATATYCCAAATTACTTCATTTACTAGAGCAAAAGCAGAGTATTTTCCACACAGAGATTGTGTTCTTAAGTCTCTGACCGCAGTGTTATAAAGTTGGTTTATCTAGGAGGTTAGGGGGTGGGGAAAGCCCATCAGATATAACCATAAATAAAGCCTCACAAGGAATTTTCTTTTTTCCCTTCGGATTATAGAATGGAATAGTTCACCTAGACTGAACATATACAGACTCATTTAGAGCCATCTCACCCTAATTGCACGGGGGCAGGAGGGAGGGAACACCAACTAGCAATTGCTGATAACCATTAGTTAYGTGCTGAAAAGACAAGGGGCTGGGAGCATTCCCACCTTGTTTTGCCAAGCCTAAGTACATTCAAGATTTGGAGGAAAAAACACACCTTCAACAGATAGTTGCTAATTTAAAGGGGGAAAAATGGATCAGGTTGCAGTAACCCTTTAGTGTATTACAGGTTAAAAAAAAAAAAAAAGTGAAGTTTAGCACTATTTTATTCATACAGCCAAAGGAAGCTAGATGTTGAAGTTTAGCGAGTGTATTTCCTTGCAGACATCTGCACTCTTCCAGTCAGGCAAGTTTCAGAACTTCTTCTATCATTGTTCCGATTCCGTCAAAAATTTCATGCAAAGGAGCCTTGCACATGAAAGCACAGGTAGTGACTATCTTGTTGGCTTTATCCACGTGGGATTCATTCACATTTTTGCAAACGTGCTTACACCCAAGCTCTGCTATAGCAGATGCTGTTTCAGCATCGGGAAATCTGTAAATAAAAAGATATTGATGAATATAAAAAGAGATGCTGTGCCTATAATGCTCTGATGCCATAACCTGGATGAGAGAACAAAAGGAATAGTGCAGGAATATTTTAGCCTTCAGTGGCTCAGGGGCAGGTGTTTGGGCAAGAGACAGGAGTACTCATTTCTTTACATTTTATTTTTTACTGTAATGTGCCTGTGGATATTAGCATCACAGAACGTGTCACAGGCTGGTGTATTTCTGAATTCAGGGATAAGTTGTTCAAGCATCAAAGTGCCTAACAAGCCTCTGACCTCACATATTCATCTTCCCTGCCCTGAGAGTTCTATGTCTACTCTTACTTAAGCAAGTGAAAAAGTTTAAAAAGCAAAAAATACCTAACTAGTAAGGGACCCAAAGGTTACGCATACGGGAGATGTGCAATTTTGCACCGACAACCATCTGTTTTCTAACCCCAGTGCCCACATCAGGTATCTCCATCTGTGCCCTTCTCACCTTCCATCAACATTTTTATCTTGGCCAACAGTGACCTCACAACCAGGAAAGACTTTCGCWGCCAACACGGGGGCTATGCAGCACAGACCGATCGGCTTCTTGGCGCTGTGGAAAGCTTGGAGCGTGGCTCTCACGTGCTCATTGACAGTGCAGTTCTGGCCATCCACTGCCCAGGAACACAGGTTCTTTGCTACACCAAACCCACCTAAAAAACAAAGTTAAAATAATATTACATTCAAATGAGGCAAATGTAATATCATTGTTAAAAAACATTAACTACCACCCTAGAAAGAAGTTCTCTTTTTTTGGTGAGGGCTTCTCACAATGGAATCACAGTATACGTAGGAATTTTAAGCTACTCTAGTGAAAGCTTTCAAAGCTTTCAGCAGATGAAACACGATGGATTGATAATGTTAGATATTCAGCTGCAGAAATTTGATCCCAGGTCTTTCGCATGGGCCAGCAACCTTAGTCTTGTTTCAGTGAGCAATAAAAACAGAAATGGGAAACTCCAACTGCCTTTGCTAGTCATTGGAAAAGCTGCAGTCTCATGTGCACCTATCAATAAGTAGGAGAGGGATTAAAAGAGCAGTGAATTAAAAGTAGGAGAGGGCAGTTCAGAAGAATAATGCAGACACTGAATTGACCCTCTGGAATGATTTCACTGATGAGTTTTAGCTAACATTTAAACAGAGTTTTTTGGGTTTTTTTTTCTTCTCCTAGAATTTTTGGACTTTTTCAGACTTAAAAACATAAAGCTTGGTTAACATAATGTGCAGATATAGAAATGATGAAATAATTTGCTGCTAAAAATAAAGCTCAATTTGTCCTTCTAGAAATTAGTTATAAGAAATAATCCTTTATCTGCATTTCATCCACATTTAATTCTAGAAACAGACTATTTTTTACCACCTCCATTTGCTGGATTTAGGACCATCTAAATTGTCAAAGTTATTAGCAAGTTTAACCGTCCATTTTATTTGATTTCTTATGTAATGTGCACAACATCAACTCTTCTATGATAAATAATAATGACGCAACTCAAATTTTCTGAAGTATTTCAAGGGACAACATCAAAAAGTTTTTCATCTTTAATGTTTTTGCTTTCATTCCATCCCCTTCACTCACTTTTGACCATTACCTGAAATCTCGGAGGTAAGATTTTAATTTCAAACTTAATAGGGTTTATTTCCCTCTAGCAGTTACTACTGCAACCCCCCTGAGCCTRGGTTATAACAGAGCATGAAATTAATGTGGAAAATATTTGCTAGCCTCTACTCCCAGACCAGCCCTGATGTCACTAACTTATTCTCGTTTTAGAAGTGTATTTATCGGCATTATACACCTGTGCCACCTGGTGGCCTTAGAACAGAYGACAGCATAACAATTTTAGAAACTGAATTTAACAATATTATGAATATTCTGGAAAATGATCTTGAGCATGTCCTCATTTCCTTGTAATACTTTAGTTTCTTCATTTCAAAAGGYTTGGGTATATAAAAGAGTATTCCACAACTGTGCTCAGTATAATTTCATCAGCAGCAGATCAGATACATAATTAAAACAGGCTCCCGTGTGACAGTGAGCACCAACTACCTGGCAACCTGCCATTCTGCTATCAATGTCACACACATTAAAATTAAGGCACTGCAATCCAGTGGCAAGTTGGCCACAAGTAGATGTGGAAGTCCTGAGTACCCCTAGAAAGAAGGCACCATTTCATGTATGATTTAACCCCAGAAGAAGACAGGAGCATTTTAAACTAATAAACAAACTGTTTCATCRGTGTGCAAGAGCTTGCTAAAATTCATCCCCAAAAGAAATTAAGTAAAAAAGACACCTCTCAATTTCAATAGTATAATTTATTATTTAAATGGATTTAAATATAAAAAAAAAAAAGGACTGGAGGCAAAGCAGTTGCTTGCAAATTTAAATAGGGAGAGTGATTTTCTTTTAAAAGCACCTACCAGGGAAAATGACTGCATCRAATTCACTAACTTTCAGTTCAGTCAAATCCTGGATGTCGCCTCTTGCCAGTCTGGCACTTTCAACTAAAACATTTCTCTTCTCTCCCGTGGGGCTTCCTTTTAAATGATTGACTACATCCCTTTGCTCAATATTGGGAGCAAAAATCTTTACCTAGAAGACAGAAAGAAAGCAACTTTGTGTCGGTAAACAGAACTCATACATATTGGTGAAGATGAAGATCACCTAAGCAAAGCAGTTTCTGTTCCCGAGGTCTCTTACCCCAGGAAAATGGATAGTCCGCAGGGCAACCTATTGCAACAAAATAATTGAGGTGATAGATGCTCTGATGCACAGGGATGGTGAAACCTCCTGCTCCTCCCCACACTCACCCCAGGCCTGCAGGAGTGTGTCCTTACGCCACTGCCAAGCTTAGTGGCCTTGCCAGGGCCCACCTTCATTCTCTGGTGGTTAATCCAAGGAACTAACAGTGCATTCATTTACATATATATATATATATGTGTGTGTGTGTGTGTGTGTACACACATTATATATATAAACCAGTGTACATAAATATGTGCATAGATATATATGCACACACATGCATTTATATCAGACACATTTACATTATACCTAAATCAGGTCTCAGACTGCTACTATATATATATATATATATACGCACACACGCTGCTGATATATATGTATCTCATATGATACAGAGTTCACAGATTCACAGAATACTTAAGGTTGGAAGGGACCTCTAGAGATCATCTAGTCCAACCTTCCTGCTCAAGCAGGCACACCTACAGCATGTGGCACAGGGTGGCATCCAGGCGGGTTTTGAAGACCTCCAGAGTAGGAGACTCCACAACCTCCCTGGGCAAGTTAACCTGAGTTAACCAAACCAAACCTGAGTTAACCAAAAAGAAAGGCTGATAAAAGACTTTTGACCTTTACGGGTAACCTCTATAGGATCAATGTGCTAGCAGAGAGGATAAAAGAAGACTGATGCTTTACATGCATTGTTCCATGAAGAAATTAGAGTTGGGAAACTTCATTCATTCTTCCTGAAAGACCAGAAGCAGGACGAAGAAAAGAAAACAAGAACCTGCTGGGGTTAAGCCTGAAAGGGAAGGGTTGCATGGGAAGCACGAAAAAGAAGAACTTTCACATCTCTCGCGTTGATGCTTGCTTGCCCACTCTCAGGGCCCACCGATTCAATCTCAGCAAGCGTGGCTGTTCTAAACGTGTGGGATTTTTCTTGGCCAGGGCATCAGATGCGGTGCTGCCGGGGCGGCCAGGCCCCGAGCGCGGGCTGGCGAGTGACYGGCGCCCGGCGGCCAAGCCGAGGGAAGGGCCGAAAAGCTACATCCCGCTCCACAGCAACGCCAGCCACCCAGAAACAACATATTATATATATATATATGGTAAGATACAGATATAAATAAGACAAAAAAAAAGGGGTTGTCATCAGGAAACACGCAGGCAGTGGACGCGCGGGCCGCGGCCGCCCAAAGCGCGGCCTTCGCGACAAGCGCCGCCCCGCCCGCCCGTACCTCGGCGCCGCCGCGGCTGAGGTGCACGAGCGCCGCCGACGCCTCGTGGATCTCGCTGCCGTCGAGGACGCCGCAGCCGGCGAGCACCACGGCCGCCCGCTTGCCCATGGCGACAGCGGCGGGCTCCCTCCCTCCCGCCGCGCCGCACTGCGCAGGCGCGGGGCGTGCGGCGCCATCTTGCGGCGCCCGCGGCGCGGCCGTGCGGCGCCATCTTGCGGCCGTGTGGCGCAGGCCGCCGGTTCGGTCCCTTCGGGACCCGCGGGGCCCGCAGTGCGCCCCGTGCGGGCCGGCTGCGAGCCGGCGGCGGCGGTTACACCGGGAACGGCGCAACAGAGCGGGACCCCAGCAGGGTCCTCCCCGCATCCCCGGGAAGGGGCTGCCCTCGGGAAGGGGCGTCCGAGCCGCATGGCCAGAGGGACGAGCCGGCTCCCAAACTGCGGGGCGCTACGGCCGGAACCCAACTCCCCCTTCCCCGTGGCCTCACTTAATCACTAGTCTTCTCGGATGGACCCCGGCCTAAACCATAGGTAGCCCTGTCCCCAGTCTTATGACTTGGGAAATACCTTGGGCCCGACTGGGGTGGGATGAGCCCCGGAGCTGCCGCGCCGTGAGCCTGCCCTGCGCTGGGACCCTCTTGTGGCCCTGTGTCCCCGTGGCCGCTTCACGTCTTCTCCCGCATGGCTTCCCGAAGCACGAGGGCAGGGAGAGGCTCCCACCGTGCGCTTGCATCGTTTCCGACATTGCTCCAGGGCGACGTTTTCCTCCTTAACGCAGCGCGGCCGCCCTCACTGCCCTCCTGCGGCCGCAGCCCTCTGCCAGCGCCCTCCGCCGGTGGCCGCAGCGCCGGCCGGGCCGTTCCGGGCGCAGGGCGGGGGCAGCGCCGGCCGCCTCCCCGCGCCGCTTCCCCCAGCCCCGCTCCCGCCCCCCGCCGCCGCAGCAACACGGGGCCGCCATGGGCGCCGCTCGCCTCTGCCAGCGGCTGCTGCTGCAGCCGCTGCTGCTGCTGGCCTGGCCGCCGCGCTGCGCGCCGCGCCGCCGCTGGCCCGTGCCCTACAGGTGAGCGGGGCGGCAGGCGCCGCGCCCGGGGGGCGCTCCCCTCACCCCAACGGCTGCGCGCGCGGCGCAACGGCTGCCAGGGCCAACGGCCGCGCGCGCCGTGAGCGCGGGACGGGCCAACGGCTGCGCCAGGGCCAACGGCCGCGCGCGCCGTGAGCGCGGGACGGGCCAACGGCTGCCGGGGCCAACGGCCGCGCCGGGTCCAAGGGCCATGCGCGGCGGGAGGGCGGGACGGGCCAACGGCAGCGACGGGCGGGGCGCAGTTTTTACCCCCTAACAAAATGGCTCTCCATCATCTCTCTCTCTCCTGGGTGTCTTGTGGGGGGCTTGTTGCTTATGACAGGAGGTGTTACCTAATTTGACWGCTATTTAATGAATAGCTAAGATTTGGGAGGGAGGGGCAAGTGCTTTTCGGTCGTGGCCAGTGACAGGACAGGGGGTAATGGGTATAGATTRAAACACAGGAAGTTCCATCTCCACATCAGGAAGAACTGCTTTCCTGTGAGGGTGCCAGAGCCCTGGCACAGGCTGCCCAGGGAGSCTGTGGAGTCTCCTTCTCTGGAGATCTTCCCAACCCGCCTGGATGCCGCCCTGTGCCCCGTGCTCTGGGTGTCCCTGCTGGAGCAGGGGGTTGGACTGGATGATCTCTAGAGGTCCCTGCCAACCTCAACCACTYTGGGATTCTRTGATTTGGAAGGTTGTGTAATTACTAGTATTGCCAGATTYAGTCTTTAGTTTTTGTACCCGAAGTTTAAAAGGAATGGGAAGTGAGTGAATCTAGGTTCTTAGGGCTTTTTATTTAAATTGGGTAGAGAAATAGCATATTTCTCCTGGATAYTCTCAGTATTTTGAAGTAAAAGTGGCTGCACTTGGAGAACTGTCATTTCCCAAAGCAAACTGGTCAATCCCTATGTAGACAAACTTAGGGAAATTTGAAGCAGATCTCAAGTATTCTTTAGTCTRTGTCAATATGTGCCTGATTTTGTGAATACAAGCCACCCTTTCCATCATTTCCAAGTCTTAGCAGCAGCAGCTACTGTGTGAATTKCACCCACGCAGTGTAGCCATAAGTCGGGTTGCTTTTGGAAATCTTGCAAACTTAAATATTCCAAGTTGTGCGGAGTCGGGATCCCAGATTTGTCCTTGGGCACTGCAGCCTGGCGAGGCTCCCTGACTCACCCTTGGGAGGTCCCGAGGCAGTTGCTGTGGCACCAGGCTGTGCTTACTGCTCTGCGTCCTTCTCTCTCAACACAGGCGCTTTGATTACCGTCCCAAAACGGATCCCTACTGCCAAGCTCGTTACACTTTCTGTCCCACTGGCTCTGCCATCCCCCTTATGAAAGAAGAGGATGTCATTGAAGTGTATAGACTGCAGGCCCCGGTGTGGGAATTCAAGTATGGTGACCTCCTGGGACATCTGGTAAGGCCATGGTTTTGTTTAACAGGGGCACGGCAGCAAATTCAGCTGGCACCAACAGCAGGTGTCACAAGTAGGAGCTGTAAGGCTGCTGTGGAGCCKTCGTTATAAGATATGTCCCTGTGTAAGAGTGCTGGTTGACACAGCCTAGGCTAACTGGGAGAGGTGCCTGAAAGGCAGTGTTTCAAACAAAAGTTACAGAATTTAGCCAAAGAAAAGAGCACAATCGGGGCTGCTCACGGATTTGAATATGTTCCCCCACACAGATATTGGGACTGTTCTGCATACACACAACCCTGTTATATTTGGGGGATTTTATTCTCCACTAACACTACATCTGAAAGATACACGAATTTGGCGCCTTTTGTCTGATGAAATACCTGCTTAGTGCATTAAGTATTTTAAGGCATATTTATGTTGTATTTGCATGCACATGGATATCTGTCCAGAGTGGAAAACTGATGAAAATGATGCATCAAGCAGAGTTGTCTGCCTTTATTGCTCCTTCTCGGTTATTATAAATAATGTTGAATAAAGTATCCATTCCTGCAGACACGCCAATATGAAAGAATCTTCAACGATTCTATAGGTCTAGTAGCAGTATAAATAAGCTTGTAAAAAACAAAGATGGGAATAACTTCAAATATCATTATCTCAATTATTAAACCAAAGTAGGATTTATACGTTTGCCATGTAGCTTTTTAAAAAAGTATTTCTCTTGTTCCTTTGGTGGCTTTTATTACTATGTTCTAGTTTTGGTGACTCAGTTCTATTCATTTACTTCGGGTTCCCTGCGAGGTAAAGGTTCACAACTGTGAGTTTTTACAGGGAGCTCCCACTGGATATGTGCGTCCGAATAACAAAATATACAGTGGATRAGCAAACACTGAGGCAGTGTGCCTCCATATACATGATGCTGTCTGTATTTTCTTTTGTCCTTTTTTAAAAATCTTTTTTTCTCTTTTTTTTTTCCTCCCCAGAAAATTATGCATGATGCTGTGGGCTTCAGGAGCTCTCTGACTGGCAAAAACTACACAATGGAGTGGTACGAGCTCTTCCAGCTTGGGAATTGCACTTTTCCCCATCTCCGCCCTGGCATGGATGCACCTTTCTGGTGTAACCAGGGAGCAGCCTGCTTTTATGAAGGAATAGATGATGCTCACTGGAAGGAAAATGGGACTTTGGTTCTCGTGACCACAATATCAGGTAGATTTCAGACAAATCTGTTGGCACCAGTATGAAATAGCATTCTGCTGTGAAGTGACAGATGACAGCTGAGATAGATAGAAAAAATGATGAAAATGTGGGCATTGGAGATCAAGTAAATAAGGCAAATTTAGAAATAGGTTCAATACACGTCAAATACATTTACATACATTTTCTTTTTCCTCACCTTGTGTTACAGAAAAAGTGCAGATGTCTCCAGTGATAGGTCTATCTGTTAYATGTTTTAGAACAAAACCAGGACTTACGGCTACAGATACGTGGGTGACCACCAGAGGAGCTTCCTGGTATATGCTGAAAACTGAAGCCCTAAGATAAAAAACTCTCCCTAATAAATCCAGTTGATTGCTGTAATAATACAGTGGATAATCTTCAAGGACTGTTGCATTTTGTATCAGCAAAAGCATTTACTCTGTTCACTTGGTGAAGTGGTCTGCTGCTCAGTGGGGCGTCAGGTGGCAGCTGCATACTCTTTCCTCATAAAAAAAGAGCAGTTAGAGCCAGACTTAAGCCCTGAAGAGTGAGGTTTAATAGAGCTTCCAAAAGGGTTTTAGAATGAACTGTTTGTAATAAATGCACCTATTTTTTGTGTATTTTGTTGCCTCTTTTTTTTCTTTTTTTCTTTTTTTTTTTTTGTTTGAATGTTACTGGAGCATATTTGGACTAGATGATCTCTAGAGGTCCCTTCCAACCTTGAATATTCTGTGAATATTCTGTGATATGGTTACAGCCAGTTAGATGAGCTTTGCCACCACACTGTGGGTGACTAATATCTTGAAGGCTGTACTTCTTCAAGGCATTGCTGATGATTTTGYTCCTTGCAGTTTTCAGCAAGCAGCCTCTTGCACTTGTGTCCTGAAACCTGGCGGGACATATTTCGCTTGCAGGTATCTGCCATCCCATTACAAGCTTTTATCAGGTCTTCAGGGCTGCTTCCTTTGCTTTTGGAAGGTGAGCAGTCACTCCAGGAGATGCATGGCCCTTGGAACTGTTCCTGAATGAACTGGGTTTGAACACACGTTCAAATCTGTGTTTTTTTCCTAGTGTATCAATTTATTATTTTTTTTTTTTGCAGTGCTTAATTACTTAGAATAATCTTAAGATTCTCTTTTTTTTTTAACATCCTGAAAACATAAAGAACAGTATTATCATGGAGACAAAAAGCAATATTTTTTTGTTTACTGCTTGTTAAGAGCAGAGGTTTATACAAAGTCCATCTTGTTAGGAGAGACAAATCCTTCAAAATACTGCCAAATATTCACTAGGAAGCCAATTTGCTAGGAATTGGAGAAGTGAAGGGGCAKCTGCAAGGCCATCTGTAATGTACAGTTCCTGATACAGGTTCTTATGACTTGCTAGTTTATTAAGCCAAGGCACAGGCAATTTAAAAAAACCCTCACTAAGCCAACAAGTGTCATAACCAGAATATGCCAAGTGTATTCTAAATAAAAATAACTCTCCGGGTCTTTAAATGTACTTGCCTTCATGTGCTGCTTGTATCTCTTGGTTTAGGCCACTACCAAGACCAAAACGCTCAGCTAGCTTTTGCTAGCTGAGAAGTTGCTGGAAAAAAGAAGTTGCCTCACTCTGAGGTTTAACAGTTTTCTTTTGGGAAGAGGCGTGAAAACTTTTGACTGAAATTGCTGAATAAGGGTAAAATTTTAGGAAGTGCTGAAACACCTGCAGCTCTGGGAGCGCTTTGTCAGCTTCGGTTACAGATAGTGTAACCTACTCTGTTTCTGTGTGTCTGAAACAAAATTACAGGTGTTGTGGTGCTCTGACGTTTGAACAGTTTGGAACAGTAACAGGAAAGAGGGCAGAAAAAGGAGACACAATTAAAATAACTTATATGTAAATACAGTTTATTCAGGGGGCTCTCACATCTCCCTCCAGCCACGCCTTGTGTGTTTGGATGGGATGTTGTAGGTGAACTTTGCAGGAAAGGGAAGGGAAATCTCAGGATGGAGGATATGCAGAATCCCATGTTTCCATGTATTTTTGTTAACTTGTTTCTGCACTGCTTATTTTCATCTCCTGTAGGAACCATGTTTAACAAAATGGCCAAATGGGTAAAATACGACAATGAGACTGGCATTTACTATGAGACGTGGACAGTCCAGGCAAGTCCTGAGAAGCAGGCAGTCGTATGGTTTGACTCTTAYGAGTGCTCCAAATTTATCCTGAGAACATACCAGAAGCTGGCGGACTTGGGAGCGGTGTTTAAGAAGATTCAGACAAACTACACCAGCATCATTTTATTCAGCGGGGAACCCATCTATTTGGGAAATGAAACATCTATTTTTGGACCCCTAGGAAACAAGACACTGGCTGCAGCTATAAGAGACTTTTACTATCCGTTCAAACCCCATCGGACAGTTGGAGAGTTCTTTGTGGATCTTTTAAAAATAATTGATCGTGTTGTCTTGAATCATCAGTTCTACCTCTTTTACAACTTGGAATATTGGTTTTTACCTATGAAATCCCCTTATCTCAAGATAATTTATGAAGAAGTCCCTTTACCTAATAGAAACAAAACATCCCCTGGCTTGTAAGAACCAACGTTAGCCAGGACATGTGCCATGTTTTTGGGTAATTGCTGTTCTGTGCAGTGTATGATTCCCTGCTAGCCTGGAAGTCGCTTTGAGAAGGCTTCGCTGGAGCAGGTGGAGGAATGTGGCTTTCCCTGACAGCTGCCAAACGTCCCTGAAAGCTTTGGAGCAGCTCTGGCTTCTCTTGCTTCCATGGAACCACGCTCCCTGGACACTGCAGTGGCTACAGCTGCTGACGAAGCTGCCGCTTGCGGGGACACGATGGGACACACGGAGCCGAAGGCCCTTCTGGTGCAATGAGCTCAGCTCTTCGTGCACAAGAGCTGAGACATGAGTGCCTTGATGGGCTCCCGTCCCTCAACATGTGCCTTAGCTCTGGCTTCCTTCGCTTTGTTCGGTGGAAGTGGGACCTGGGAACTCTTCTCTGATCCATTACATGGCCGCCTARCAGCGTGGGGAGGGTGAATTTGTTTGAGGAGGGTATGAAGGTTGCCTCATCTCACCACTTTGTTGCCCTCAGCTGCACTGTAAGCTTAATACAGATGACTCTTCCTTCGGCTGGCGTGACGGTTTCTCTCATGGGTGGCAGACAGACAAGCCACTGAGGATCAACTTGGAAGTGTAACAAGTGCTCTAGCAGGCTCCCTGCTTAAAAGAAGTCCATCTGAGGCTTAAATGAGGCCAGATTCCTAGTCACATCTGTATTCCTTTTCTTTTTCCTATCATAGCATGGAGTCATTAATAGAAAAGAAGTAATCACACGTGGGGTGTGACGGTCACAGGCATGAGTCAGTGCTTGTCACAGAGAGGCCTTGGAGGAGCAGCTGCACGTGCTGCTGGCAGCCGTGCTGACAGGGCAGGGGCTCTGCCAGCCGCACTGCCTCGAGGATTCATTCCTGGGCGGGCCTAGGGTAGCTCGTTGGCTGCTAAAGCCCAGTACTTTCCAGTAGATGAGGCCTCTGCCGTGGYTGCTGCAAGGCCTCTGTGCAGCCGGCTCGTGTCCAGACGCACCGTGGCCATTTCTTTCAGCCGCCTGCAGAACGAGTAGCACTACTCTAAGCTGGGTTTTGCTGCATCGTAGTTAAGCAGTTTCATGAAGAACAGACCACTTTGTGCACAGGGCTTTTTTGGCTGGGGCTGAAATCACAGCCTGCAGCTGCTGTGCCTAATACAAGTATGCATGAGATGTGGTTCAAATCATACAACTGGCCAAAAAAAGGACCTCATATTAAGAAAATATGTAATTAGTTGGATTACACTGTTAYGCAGCGAGGTGAGCATCAGAGCTAATCTGAGGAGTGAGGTAAGCAGAGCACCACCACTCAGCAGGAGAGAGCTACTCATTGGGCTCCATGGCTCCGTGGAGCTTGGAAGCTTGTTTTGTACTGTGCCTTGAAGGAGCAGCCACCAAGGTCACCATCAGGTAGCCAGGTGTCCATCCCGGGCTCCACAACCTGAGTTTCAGCTTCTTTGCACAGCACCCACCAAAGATGCAGACTGGGTGGCAGGGGCAAGAGGCTCCCTGGCCACAGAGGCTGAAGCTCTCGTTACAGCACATTGAGGTTGAAACCCACCGTGAGAACAGCACCTGCATCAGCTTTCCCAGGTCAGAGCCCATAGGCTCCAGAGTATGTGTTATAGCAAAACAGGCTGAACTAAGCAAACTGTACAGATTAAACAGGAAAGGTGTGACAAGCTGCTGGGTTACATGGATACCCAGTACAGCCAAATGTATTTTAGCTTGAAGGTGGAGAACAATGTATTTCTGGCCCCAAAAAAGACAAGAGTTACATATCAGGAACACTGCATCGCCTCCTGCTGCCTCTAATGAGAAGCAGGAGGGCACAGGAAAGGGAGCCAGTCCTGGCGCTAGAAATGGTTTCACTAACATTCAGCCTGAAGCTACAGCCTTGCCTGGAAAGTGCTTTGCAGCAGCCCTCAGCGCTGAGGCTTCCTAAGGGATGTTTCCATAGGCGAGCGCTGCAGCCCAGGCTGGCTGCCTCCCTGGCTCTGCACCCATGAGGGAACAGCGAGCAGCAGGGCCCCAGCTGCAGGAGCAGGGCCCCAGCTGCAGGAGCAGCTGAAATTGCTCCCCAGGTGACTTCCGTGAGAACATCCCTCCTGTCCCCCCGCCTTCACCTTACTCCAGTTGGAAGCACTCACACGGGCACAGCAAAGACTTTTTGTTTTTAAACTTTTGTAGTCTATCAACACTTTTTATACAAGTGAAAGCAAATTATAGTATTACATTAAATTAACAACTTCTAATACAAAACCCCYGCATTTAATGAGATTTTTAAAATCACAAAACTGCAGAAACATAGCGTTACCCTGTGAAGATACCTAGTCCACTGAGCAACACTTGCTCAAAATAGTTATGAGCATCTTCAAGGCCATCAGGGTAGCAGAGGTGGCCTCTGCCCTTGGKCCAGTGAGGAGGGTCTCTCTGCTAGCGGCACCAGCTCCAAGGGAGCAGCCAGCAGCAAAGCCCGGTGCAGCAGGAGACCCTGCCCTGCCGGGGGCCACTCGCACCTCACCCGACCGAGCAGCCGCATTAATAGCTGAGCAGCTGAGTGGTGCCAATCAATAATGCAACAGAGGACACAGCAAAGCCGCCGCGGGCGGTAAGGAAGGAGCCGCAGCTGCATCACAGACAAGATGTTGCCCAGGCCCCTTAGGCTAACGCTTCCCCTAATAACTGCACTTACAAATAGCCAAAAAAAGGGGTTTATTTTTGCGTATTGCTCTACTTCACTGATTGCTTAATTCACACAAGTTAACTGCTTTTAGGTTTTTAAATATTATGAAACGATTCAACTAGCTTAATTACAAGGTATACAAAATGATCATCTATCAAACATTCACTTTATACATAAACATTTCAGAAACAGATTTACAGTATACAGGTAGTTTATACAGCTGAAGCAACTGTTACAAAGCCGTTTTCCTCGAATTCTAAGCAGCAATTAGGCCTAGGATTTTGTGAAACGTTCTTGGCCACCTCTCCAACRTGAGCTTTTTATTTGCTCTTCCCATCCGCGTGGTCACGTTCAGCGGCGCAGTGTTCAGCGAACAAACCACGCGCTGCTGCTATGGGGCTTTCGCACCCTGTGCTGCAAAACCGGCTCCCGCACGAGGAACGCTCCGTAGCTCCCATAAGGTTTTAAATACAATATATCTACACTTCAGTCCCAGAATGCTTTCGCTTCCTGAGCTAAACATAATACCTTAAAACAGGTTTAGGCATGGATTGGAGACCCCGTAAGCRAACTACTTTGAAATGCATAGAAGAAAAACAAAAAAAAAACCACCCCACACTTCTGTTCACTCTCATGACTCCTGTAGATASGCATTGCACTCTAGATACACATTTTATATGGATTTAATAATSCATTGAATAAAGGTAGCAAATTTAGTGTTTTAAGTATCGAAACTCCATGACTGTATTACATTTGCCTCTTAAGACTTCTATATAAAAGAAGGTGCAAGTTTCACAGCACACAGCATATTCCAGACCGGCCCATCCCACTATCTAGAGCCTGGAACAGCAGCTTCCTCTGGTTTTAAGATCAAATCCAATCCATCTTCAGATCCAACTCAAAGGAGGACACAGGGAACATATGGACAACTGGTACAGGTGCATTTGCAGGGACATTCCCCTACTATGAGTATTTTATTTTCTTTCTCTGCAAGTCTGTGGTCACTGTCGATGAAACAGCAAATCTAAACCAGAAGTGTTTTGTTTGGATGAGAAAAAAAAGGGGGGGGGGGTTGGAGCTATTCACAAGTTCTATTTTCAAATCTGGATTTTACAAGTAACTCTTAAATGAGTGATTATTTTTCTAGGAAATAACGCAGYAAAACTACAGTATTCAATAAGCACGTAGGATGAATTGCAGCATGGCAAGCTTGGGTTTAAGGTGCTATTCCATCTGCCCGGAAACGGTCCAGGGAGTTTACCAGGTAGGCATCATGTCTGGGAACCAGACCCTGCCGAGATGCTTTGAAACTTCCCAATGAATCTGCTCCAGGCTGTATTTCTGGTCGGGAATCAAGACCTCCTCCATGATGGAGAGCTGGGAGAGGCGGCCGCCGCACATCTTGACAAACTCCACGAAGGCGCTGCAGGACACCTCGCACTCGCCCAGGCCGATGGCCGAGAGCTGCTTGCAGCGCTCCGCGATGCGGATGAGCTCCTCGTCGAGGGGCCGCAGGCCGTTGGCGCACACCACGAGCTCCACGAGGCGCGGGCACGTCATGCCCACGCGGCCCAGCACGTCCTTGCTCACCGACCTCCCGAAGTAGAGGTGCGTGACGGGCGTCTCGTAGCGAAAGAAGGGGTCGAACTCCTCTTCGTACAAGAAAAAGTACATGACCAGGTTGACCTTGGGAGAGTGCTTGATGAAAGCGTCCCAGCTGCTCTTCTGAATCGCGTGGAACTGAGTCTGCCCGGGGTTCTCACTGACCACGTCGATGCGCAGGTGCTCCAGGCGCACGTGCTTCTCCGAGGACAGCGCAAGCAGCAGCTCGTCGCTCAGCAGGTGGTAGTTGAGCGCCAGCTCCCGCAGCCCGTGACACTGGTCGGCCACGCACAGGATGCCTGCGGACAGGGAACGTTCCGAGATGCTCACACAGGCCAAACACCCACACCTCAACAGGAAACGGCGCCACACTTTCTTCATGCACATCAAGAAGGTGCTAAGATACCTCAACACAGGATCATGATACAACATCAGAACAAAACCACCCAGGACAACCCACGTTGGAGCCTGCTTTACACGGAGGTGCTCTCGGGTGTAACTGCATACCGTGTGCTCTGCCCAGGAAGACACACATCCTCCACGTGGTTAATAGTGCTGCTTTGCTAGAGAAGGGTGGTAAAGTTAACGTGTCCCATTGTCACCCGTTGACAGGTACCGGCRATGGTACCGCACAGGAGCGCTGCAGAACAGCGTTCCCAGAGACCAGCTCTGCATTTCACAGGCCACAGGAAACTGCACGCGACTCCAGACACGATCCTTCCATCAACAGAGAAGCAGGAACAACATTTAGTGTGAACTGCCAAGGCTGAACTCAATACCCTACGGCTCCGAGTCAGGGAAAAGAAATACTAAGAGATATTTTAAGATGCAGCTCAGCAAAAGCCTATACTGAGCTTAAAGTTAGGCTGACCTCTGATCTGTGATCTCCATAAATGACGAGAGACTGGAGTATTGCTGTAAGAATCACTCTGTCCTGTCTCTACAGGGCGTGTGGCAGTCCTGACAGGAGCTGAAGCTCTGACAGGAAAGGGCAAGCCCAGAAACTGCCCGCACGGTCACCCTGGTTCCGCCTTCTCAAGTCCAGCCCTAATGTGGCCTTCTCTCCGGCACATCATTCCAAACACCCTTTGGCAGCAGCTCGARGTTTGATACCGGTCTTTCCCTCCATCCCTGCAGTGGTGGAGTCTCTGGCGCTGCTCTCATCATCCCCCTCTGCCCTTGGCTAACACAAGTCTCAAGCCCTCCTCTGGGATCGAGCTCCCTCCTGGAGCTTCAGTTTGAAGGCTCGTTTTACCACGTAAGAAAGTACCTAGTAATCGTGACCCTCTTGATTCAATTAAAGCTTTTCCCCCTCCAGTTTACAGCAACCTGATTACAATATTGACAGGAGGAAAAAGGAAGGAGAAAAAAAGAAGGGCAGGTCAATGCTCAGAGCTTCCCATTTCCCTTTGAGGGTCTCCCTTTGGCTGTCTGCTTGTCCTGAAGCCTTCCGGCGCTTCGTTGTGCCCTTCTCTCCCGCTCAGGGCACAGGGAGGCCTCTATTAAGCTACCAAATCACCCTGCCCTTTCGTTCTACTGCTCTCAGCTCTAGGAAGGGCGACAGCAGCCGTGCTCCTTCCTCCTAGCAGGCGCTGCCACTTCTTCCACCCACAGGACAAGAGGCGTGGAACAGCACGCAACAGGCGGGCGGCTCCAGGAACTTGGCCCCTCTCCTAGCTCACCCAGCACAAAGCCAGGGCGCTTGGGAGCCCAGGCCCAGGGAACCGTTTTCCCCTCGCGTAGCTACAACCGACTGCTGGGGCCGCCTTCTCCAGACACAYGTCACTGCTCCCCTGCGTCCCGCACACCCAAAAATTCTCAACTTTTAAGTCAAAAAGAGATGATCAGTTTAACCAGGTGAAGCAAAGCCCTGTCTACGGTTACTAAGCTTTAAGGAAATCCCATTTCCATTCACACACTGTTAAACATTCTGCTCGATCAATCTGCTGTGAAACCCACCTGTGGTTTGAGGATTTATCAGTAGAAATCCCACCACAGGACAGGAGAGCTTGTGTTTGAGAGCTACACCTGCCAAGGGAGCAGGTTTGCACTCTGCCATTGCAACAGTGGTGACCTCTGTTGCCGTACAGCTTTCCCACAACCCGAGGGCTCCTGCTGCTGAACCTTACGTGTAACACGTTTAATACTGAGGATTTCACTGTATGAGCACCAAGAAAGGCATCCTAATTACAGCTGTTTCTATGGGAAATCTGAAGAGAAGTTCCAAAGAGGCCCAACTGTACCGCATGCCTTCCTCCCCAGYGCACAAGTGCAGTGCAACCATTGAGTCCTTTTAATGACCACAAGCAGCAAGTTATTTGCCCCAAAAAGCCATGCCCTGCTGCATTYCCAGCCAACTCAGCAGTGCCACCAGAAAGGGAAGTGTGGGATGGAGAGACAAGCAGTTGAATTAACATCTTCCTCTGTGGCAGTTACRGCATATGCACCAGTTGCTACATTCAGCATCACTCGATTCCGCCCCCATCCGTCCTGCTCCTCAAGAGAGATTTTTCAGACAGAATTTAACAAATACACTTAAAAACCAACCCCAAAAGCCACCACAGAGCACAGGGGGAGGACACAGCAGCTTACCAGCTGGAGAAACGTGAGGACAGCTGCTCATTTTCAGGAGTTTGAGGGTGTCACTGTTGTTAGCCACGAGCACTTTGAGGGACGGATCATCGACRGGCGTATCATCGATCTTAAGCGAAGAGAGGGATTTCGAGTTGACGAACACCACTGTCAGCGCCGAAATAAAGTGAGACTGCAAGAAAAGTTCAAAAAMAAAGTTTAAACGAAACAGTAGCATTTAAAGAAAAACCTCAATGGTCTACATTGTATAGAGTAATCCTGCCTTATTTATTCACAGCAGTCATGATTTGGTAGTTTCATCAAACAGCAGTCACAATTTGAAGTTTCATCAAACATTCATTTAAGTCTGAATGTTTAACACTGAACACCAACGAGAGGCTCACTAGGATAATTCTGCACACAGACCCAGAGCATGTGACTGGAAGGGCCACAACCAAAGCCACTGATTTGGATTTATTTCTTTATTATTTTTTTAATCTGGAGGGTAACTTGCAAACCAGGCTCTTAAGCATCAGGCTCTCAAAGAAGATTCCACCATGTCCTGGAACAGGAGAGGCCACCTAATGAGTTGTGCTGCGCTGGCGAGAGACGAGCCCCACAGAGCAGGGCAAGCCCAATACTCCATCCATTTTACAGCTCGTTTTTCCCAAGCGAAGTGGTGCAATCCATGCAAGTCCCTGTCCTTGGCTAGATGGGAATGTAGCAGAAGGAAGGCGGCTCCTGGTGGCAGCCTTGGGGCCAGGCCCAGGGCAAACAACAGGAGGGAATGGATTCTGTTGGTACAGAGGCATGAGGGAAGAGAAGCCCAACTGTCTGGAGGCCTCTGGAGCGCAGCACCCACTGCCAGCCACACTCTGCTGGAAGAGGTTCGAGAACCAGTGCTCCAACGCTCCCCATTTGATACCTACTGATTTCTCCTCCGAGCTCTAAAACTGCTGCTCTCTCAAYATCGTCTATTTCGTGAATTTTCATCAGCTTCTCGGAGCACTAATTGCTGGAGCTCCTTACTAGCATTTCTAGAAGTATGAGGAAGGAGAATCATAGAATTGTTAAGGTTGGCAGGGACCTCTAGAGACCACCTAGTCCAACCCCCTGCTCCAGCAGGGACACCCAGAGCACGGGGCGGCATCCAGGCAGGTTGGGAAGATCTCCAGAGAAGGAGACTCCACAGCCTCCCTGAGCAGGCAGGTGTTTCAGTTTGTGGAGGTTTCCTCTAGTCCTATCGCTGGCCACCACTGAGAAGAGGCTGCACCCTCCTCCTCACTGCCTCCCCTTTGAGGTATTTATACACGCTGATCAGGTCCCCCCTCAGCCTCCTCTTCTCCAGGCTGAACAGGCCCAGCTCCCTCAGCCTTAAGCGCAGGGGAACCTACACTGAAGATGCTTCCCAAATATTCTTCATATTAATCTTCATTTGGGGGCAATTTTAAGTGGATGATAGCTAACATTAAGTGGTCCTTCCGATTTTTTGGCACACAATGCAGTGGAAGTGGATGAGATCTAAACAGTCCTGAAATGCACCATTAGGCCAAAAAAACCCAGTGCATATCCAAAGAGCAGTCCATTTTTTATGGGAATACTAAATCAGAGGCATATCATTACAGACACTCAGATTGAGCATAGTCATGGAAAAACAYATGGGAATAAAGGTGAACAGCAAAATAACCAAACTCGTACTACCAATCAAGTTATAAAAAATGGAAGATGAAATCCTGTGTCAATAGACACAAAGCCACAGACACGAGGAAAGAGGGGAAGATGCCGACCCGGCAGTAACTCAGTGCTCAGCAGAGCAAGTCCTCCCCACCTCCCATTTCAATCTACAGAAATATATGACTAAGCTGACACCTTTCATTAGCAAAGGTTGATATAGGTAACAGGAGTATTTAATGTTAATGCACACAGCACATTTACGGGGCTCTTAGAGCTTTGCTTCTGGGAGCAGACTGACAAAAGTGGCATTCTGACAAGAAAACTTATGATTCAAACTGACTAAATATTTAATCCTAAATGCGTTTGTTAAATATTTATGATTATATTAAGGTTAACATTTCATGCAATAGCCAGAATATAAAAACCACAAGACTTCAATAACTTCAGAAGCAAGAATTAGATAAAGTTTGTTGGGAATATGAGTTAAATCCCAAATATCAAAACTTAAAATTCTGGAACATGACTGCATTAAAGCATTCTATGCAGCCTCTTAAAAAGAGCTGTCCTCCACCCAAGCTGGTATCAGGACATTATTGCACACATTCCTTACATACAATTTCCCRATTAGTTCAGCACTTTGATTTCAGTGTGGTTCCACTCCAAGCCCCATGCCATGTAGAATCCAGAATACAGTAATAYGAGAGAAGGTCCCCAAACTATTTGCTCATGTGTGACATGTTTTTTAAAATATTTTTTTAAAAACTCACAAGCAGATTTACAGCAGCAATTAATATCTTCCTATCTGTAAAGTGGAAGATTCAGTTAATGCAAATGAAACGAGACTGTTCAAATAAATACACATTAGCACTGGGTTAGCCTAAACTAACTACCTCGGCAGTACTTCCAAGGACCCTGACTGCATTCAGATTATATCCATTACACMTGGAACAAGAAAAGCTGGTCAACGAATATTTGTACCTTGAATCTGCAAATCTGTTAGTACTGTATTTGTATTCTCTGTAGTCAGAACTTAATTCCCTTTTAGATGTTAAAACAGCTAAAGAAAAATGCACATGCTTGTAAAAGCAGGGGATTTGAACCCACAGCTTGAAGGCCRAAATGAAGCCACGCTGCGTCCCAAGAGGTACGAGCTGGCAGTTTCGGGGCTTTTCATCACTGACACGCACGTAAGGTCCCTTCCGACCTTCAGCATTCTATGATTCYAAGCAGCAGAGAGAGACAGACTGGGGAGAGTCCTTAAGGGATTCTGGTGAAGTGTGCTTAGCATTATGTTTCCTTAAGTTTTCACTAAATGTGATCTACAAAAAACATTGGCCTCTAACAACGTTAAGTCTGGCAAGAAGAGCGCATTTAATTTATATATATTTATACACACACACACATAAATACACACACATATGTATATACATCTATATGTAAAATATAGATACAAAAGTCACTGCTCTCAGTATTTGCAATGACAAAATTTACTCAAGGGATAAATCTAACTCTGGACATAATTTGCTCATTGCCGAGGCTCATTTTGGATGTACGTTACAAGGCCAACTGGGAATTTATTATGAACAAAAAAATAACATTTTGGAAGTGCTGGAATTGAATAAAACCATAACACAAGTAACAACAAATGATAATTCAACAACTTGAATAACCAACACTTATCCTCAGAGTGCAAAGAAATAAAAGATCAAAACAGATTAATAATAAAGAAAACAGATAAAAGGAGAGATCATTTCTAACAAATGAAGACTGTGGGTTCTTTTCATGGCATTCACATATTTGCACGTTCACCTCTGCAAGCAGCCCAAAGAGTGAAAAGCCCCCACAGAATCCAGTGAGGAATCTATAAGGCTCTTTGAAGKAAGGAGTAGAAATATGTTCCAGAGAACCCCATGACACGACTGTGACCACTGCTGGGGACAATAATTCCTAAGTCTGCAAGTCTGTAACCTGCTGGCTTGCAAAATATTTCTCAGTATTTCAAAGGAAACGAACAGGAGTACTTTGAAACATAAGCTCAGAACCACATTCTCATGCGAGCACTTTAGGAATCCATCCAAGTACAGCGCTGCAGTTCCTCCCTTTAACAGGGCCTGGTAATACAGTTTTATGTGCCTAAAATATATGGCAACCACTGCAATATTTTTCCACAGGAAAATACACGTATTAAAATACCTTGGGTAAATCCATGAAGCTTGGCCGGGCGGTTGAAATCAGCCCAAGTGTTTTCAGAGAGCAATTCACAAGCTGTGATAAAATATCACAAGCCGCTTCCGCCGATTCCTTGCTGCTGTCCACCTTAAAACAGAATGGTTTTAGAAAAAGCTGTAGCAAATACTCTCCTCACAAAGAGCCCAAGAAGCCACACTTCAATATTGTGCTACTGTTTCAAGTGTGATTAAAAAAAAGACTTCACTGCAACTCCCTCAGTGTCCTAAACATTGATTTCCCCCTCATACTCTCTGCAGAAAAGTCTGCATATAAAACAAAGCAACAACAGCAAAACACCCCATAACATCATCTGTCAATTTACAGCTTTGCTAAAGACTTCTGTGAAGTTTAGCATAGCGAGAGGCCAAATAAGAATTCAAAGATATTCMGTTAATACCAAGTAAGAAGCAAGTAGATACTCATTTAGCTCTGAAACTTGCCCCTTTTTCTCTGCAACTTCTTTATCAAAACGTAGGCAACCTATAAAACCATCACTATGTAAAAGAGCTGATTCTTTGTTCAGTGCTTCAGCTCACAGCGCGGAGCTGCTGGTTCAGTAGAATCCAACCTCCCCGCCTGGGCCTTTACCATTAAGGTCACACATACACAAGGGACACGCTGCCCAGGCTTCATGTCGGCTGGTTACACCACCACATCACTTGGGGGGCCTCGGGTGGCTTTTCCCCAGCACCCAYGTGTGCTTTCCCAATAATCCCTTCTATACAGCAGGTATGAGAACTTCGTAAACTCAGGGAAGAGTGAAAGCCTTAGTCCCAAGATCATTACTGGGTATGCCCCAGGCCAGGCTACCTTGTTAGCAACTGATCTCAGCAAGCCTGTACTCAGGTACCCAAGTGCTCATTTGCCACTTGAAAGGCCTTTTTCTTTTGTTTTTCCAATCATCTATTCTTAATTTGCCCAAATAAAAATTTAAGCTTTTAGCAGTGACAGAATAATCAGTGTTATATCCACTTCCTTGTGATTATCCTCCTCTTTTCCCATGGTTTAGTCTCTGTTCTGCACCATCAAGGGACACATTTTTAGGGGCACATTCAAGAACTCTCTCAGGATGCTCCTGCCAGTGAAAGGAATCTGAAACTCCTTGAGAGCATCTGGTGGGAAACAGCATCTGGAATCCGACACCGCCAGGTCTCTGCAACACAGCTCCACGTTTCTTTATCCAGAGCCTTGAGGCAAAGCTTGTGATAACCAGTTCCCCCCGGCGCTGCAGCAGCAATACACACCAACAAGCAGATGTGCCCCAGCTACTCACAAGCTGCTGTTTCCCACAACACTGAAACTGCAACATTTCTAAAGCAAAAGCCTGTATGATCTATTTGTTACAGAGGCAATCTCCTTTCTAAATGAGTCAACAGCCATGAGTGCTTCACAACACCCTTCCCAAACAGAGGACAGTGTAGGTGTGACCCATATCAGAAGCTTTAATTTGCTCCAAGTAACTGGACAGTGTAAACCGAGTCAGTTTTGACCAGGGGATATCTCTAGCCAAGCACAAGCAGTCAGTGCATCACCCCTTGCAAAGCACTTTTCCCAGCTAACAGGGTTTGCTACAGCTGTACTAAACCTCACGTGCAAACAGCCCCATACTACTTAGTGCTGAAACGACTAGTTGGTTACTAGTATTAGTGAACTTTGTATYTGTGCACTGGATGTTTTCTGACCACAAGTATGAGATTTAGATTGCTAGAGAATGTGCAAGAAGGAAATGCATAGTTTATGAATCCTGATTAAACGTAATTAAACTCAATTGAGACAGGTATTCAGATGTTTGCTAGCATCAGGACTGAAATATATCTGACCATTTGTTGAGGCAGAATTCTAAGCAGCTAAGAGGCTCAAAGAAAAGAGGGGAAAAATACAATGAAAAAAGTTATTTTCAGAACAGTTACTCTAAGGTTGAGTGTGGAAAACATATACAAATAAACAAAGGAACGAGAAGATACATCTGTACACTCATTTAGAGAGCTCATTTCTTCAAAATACTGTGTTTGAAGACCAAGCCTACCAGAGAATATATACTCCTATATATACATACACACACACACTCCTATATATACTGCTATACCTCTTTTTAAATAACTGGCAGTCCTGATCACGAACAACTCATGAGCCTCTTCTTAAATTCAGTGACATGTTCTACAGTTTTAAGTATGTTAAAAAGTTTTGATCACAGATGCCAATTATCACTGACCATCAATGGCATTTAGATTACTCATTTTATCATTTGTTCTCATGTGTTTATAGTTCTCATGTGTTTATATCTACGTGACAAACCAGGAACACTATCTCGAGAGCAAATACATCCCCTTGACTCTTTCCTAATAAGAAAATAATTTTCTAAAAATCAGTTATTAAAAAAAAAAAAGCCTGCAAAATGCACTACCTTGAAGCTCACGTACTGCAGATGGTTGGAATGCCTCTTAATTATTTGCTTGATGAGTTCAGGATGTGTAGCCCTCAAGTAAGAGGTAGCGGGCTGATTGAGTTCGAACTCGAAGCACCTCCAGAGATCGGGCATATGGAACACCTGGTTCCAGCTCCGACACACCTGGGAGGCGTGAGCGCGATCCAGGAGGGGCAGGTACTGGAACACCTGCAGGATGATGTCCTGAAGCAGGTTGGCCCAGTCCGGCCTCCGCACGGCTCCGTGCTGCCCATCTGTCATCTTGTGCCTCTTGGATTCCTCATCGGCCGTCTCTTCACGTGAGCCACTCGTAGCTCCATTACTCTTCCTTCCTCGTTTCATTCTATAAATAGTAATAATAATTTTTAAACAATCCATATTTATTTTTGTAAATAAGCGCTAAGAACAACAACATTTTTATTGGATAATTGCTGAAGCAAAGATGCATGTTTTCTGCAGGTCTGGTTTTGCACTTTTTCCTGCATAAAAGAAAAAAAAGGCAAGTTTGCTATATGTTTAGATAGCAAACCAGTTTTCGAAACACCCTATCTTAAATATTGCTTCTCCTATCATCAACACTGCACGCTCACCTTTTTGTGCTCGAGTCTGCTCTGCACTTAATTGCTTTTACCATTTTGCAGGTTGTTATTTTAGTCCCCTGCTGTTGCAAAGCCACCCTTGGGAACAGCTCAGTACATAGTACGTTGCCATCTGCATTGCTCCTCTGGGTCTATCTACCAGAAACAACAACATTTAAAACTGAGGAAGGTGCAGTATGAAATGGACATGGGTCTGCTGGCAGGTCATACATCTGACCCGTTCATTTTTATTCCCAGGCATCCAGAACATKGCATTTACCAGCAAAAACAAACACAAAACCAAAAAACACCCCTCAAAATGTACCTACTTTAAATAAGTATCCTTTAAAACACACTATCAGTAATGTCTGCATGCTTTTGAGTTTTYCAATGAATTAATTAGTAGTTAGGGTAACAATCGGGAAGGTTCAAGCCTAAAAAAAGCACTGCAGAAGAGGCATCAAGTCTTCCTCAAAACCCCAATAAATCCGGTAACTCTGAGGCACGTGGTATCTCAGTAGCACCTACTTCTTTCACAGTGAACTCATTAATGCAAATTCTACATTACTGTGCACCCTAAAAGAGGAAAAAAATACCACAAATTAAAGAGTTGAGCACCAGATTTTGATGCATGTGTTTTTGTGCAAGCCAGCTTAAACACAGGTCACTGGACAGAAGTTCAATTTCTACAAACCTCAGCCTGACAGAATGTCCTAAGACCTTAAACCAACCTACAACACGCTCAGCTCTGCCTCCTAAAAACCCAAGGGACCCTTGGGGAGGGGATGGAAGGGGAGGACATTGACACTTATAAACAAACAAAGAAAAAAACCCATCATCTAGAAGATACACATGAACTTCACACACAGTGGAGCTGTTCTGGTTTAACGCTCAGGTACAACCCCACGTCCATCACGTATTCAGTGGGTCCTTCCCATGCTGTACGCTGCAGCTATGTATTTTATAGTCTTCCTAGTCAAAGGCTGGGAGTCTTTTCCCCAAACAGTTTCACTTGGATATTTAAAATGTTAAAAGGGATACTGGTTATCTCCCAGGCATCATGGTCTATACTCCCTGGTGGAATAGGTGGAGAAGGGCCAGGGCACCCGTGGCCACCACACCAGCCCAGACAGCAGGGTAGTTATGAGCACTCCTAGTATAACTATATATTAATTATAGATTAAACTCCCTTCTGAAGTCATAGGGTGCCATGGGAAGGTTTTACAGACTGCCCATAAGGCAAACAACTAATTGGGCTATCCCTGATGAGGGATACAGGTCACAGTTTCCCAAGAAAATAAGAGGCTGCGAGTCCTACACGCTATGTGATGGAGAAGTACAAGACACAGGAGAGGAGGCTCCTCTTCCCGGGAGCGCTTCTGCTGCTGATCTCCTGGATATTGATTTAAAGGGAAAAAAAAAAAAGGGTAATCACAGAGTTTCAAAAATATCTCCCCAGGGAAATTTAAAACAAACCAGCCAAACAAAACATCTATGCCCAGAAGTAGAAAACGTAACTCCAAGTACTGGATGACCACGGTGTCTTTCCTCACTTAAGGTACCAGAACGTCTTTTTTAAAGGCATGATGGGTTCCAACCTCTCAGAGTACGTAGGGCAAGTGCAGAGAATCAGGAGAACGCGCGTTTTCCTGCRTAACTCTGCAGAGCCACCTAAGAACAGCCTCGGGGGACGCCCAGGCCGGGGCTGAGAGGGTGAAACCCGCCGCGGGCCCCGGGCGCAGGCGGCCCCCGAGCAGGGAGCGCTCGCTGCCCGCTCTCCCACCGACCGGCACACCCCGCCTCGCTGCTCCGCGCCTCCTCACCACTATTATTTATTATTATACATATATACGTATATATGTTTTTCTTTCCGCGGACGTGAAAGCCGCGCGCGCGAGCGGGGCGCGCGGAGGGAGGAG